CGCCAGAATTGGTTTGACCATCGCCTCCGTCACCCTCAAAACCGAAAAATCCCGACAAGCAGCGCCCTCCTCGAAAGGATCTGGGTGCCGGATTTGTTTTTCGCCAACGAAAAAGAGGGCATACAGCATCAACTGACGGTTGAAAACAAGTTACTGAGAGTTTCCCATGACGGGGAGGTTATTTTAAGTCAGAGGTAAGGTGATGTGTGCTTCTAATATAAATGGCCCCTGTAGAATGTCGCACGGTCGTATCAGATTACTCAGAATGCTGTTCAATAATGAGTGTGTTTGTCACCACTCAGCGCGCGTCGTTTGTGAACGTTGTAGTTTAACCGTGTTGTAAAACGTAACGACCACCGTTTTTTCACTTCCACTTTACCTGCAAATTCACATGTGAGCAAAGGTCATGGAAACGAGAATTGTGTGAACGATTCTCATATACCATTGCCAGATATTGACATTTTTTCATGAATTTGTTCGGAGAGTTGTCCTTTGAGACAAAGACAAATCAATTAGAATTTGAAAGAGATTCGGATTCGGTTGCCATGGATGCAGGAAATGTTGGAAAGATTCTTTACCATTTCCATGCAAGAGACGATTAATATTATCACTATACTGTTATGCCACTGACTACATTCTCGTCATAAAGTGCTTTGAATGTGTGTGTTTTTTTCAACAGATTGAGTCTAAGACTGAATTGTAATATGCATTTACAACATTTCCCGATGGACGAGCAAGTTTGTGATATGGCAATGGAAAGCTGTGAGTACTACTATGTCGGCATACTGATATAATATAGCTTCAATAAATCTTGTAAATCTAAATAAATAAATCTAAAGTTTATTTCTGGATGCCTTTGTGCCAATTTTGGGGATTGTATTTCAATATTTTATTTGTTTCGACATACTCACGTAAAACCAACCTGAATTTAAATATTACTAATTAAATCGTGATTGCGAGTACAATTTAAAGGCATCGTTGTGTTTTTCCAAACGTGTTTTTCGTTTAACGAATTTCTAGAATTGTGGTCGTGGTCTTTTTTTTTTTGTTTCATTTGTAAAATTAAAGATAAACGGTTGTACGATGCGTATTTGTTCGCTTTTTAAAATACATTGGTGACGTATATGTGTTCAACGGTGGACGCGATGGCGTGAGAGAATCGAATATCATTTGAAGAGCAAAAACAAGTCTCGCGCCGCACTCTCGCTCTCAACGGGATATGTGCGGCCACTTGCTGATAAGATGCATTGTCGACTATTAAACCATATTCGACATAAATATTCCTAGTTGACTACTTTACAGCAGAAGATAGTCTGACGGTTTATCTATCCACTGAACCATGCACACATATAAAAGTAATATGCGGTTATTACAAGTCACACGGCAAAGTATGCCGGCAGGAAGTCAGCACAGCGAGGTTATCGACCGACACGCAGCAGAGGTTGATGTGACCTAGTAATTACGAGAAATTATAGTAAACTCAATTTAAATTAAGTTCAAATATAAATTTATGATTAGATCAGTCGAAGAATCGTTTACAAGATAAAATTGTATACGTTGGGAAAACCTGTCAACATATAAGCTGCATTCAGATTCGTCTAACGGTTAGGTATTAGGCTCGGGTAGCCAATCAGGCACGCTCTTGTATGTAGCTAGCTTCGCTCCGGGCATGAACATATGGAACACAAGATCTCATTGGATAAGCTTATGCTTGAGATGATTATCGAATGATTGAAATCAATTTTCGATTTCGTTTTCATCGCATAGTTTATAGACCCGAATGAACCTATGACCCAAATGAGCGTAAGGGAAATAACACAAAATCAAAACTGAACTGAATGTAATTCTCTGGATTCTTGGTATAAGTTATATAAATGCATTCTCTTTTCACAGTTGGCTACACGAGCGATCAACTTATTTTCATATGGCGTAATGACATGGCCAAAGCTGTGCAGGTAGATGATACCCTCACCTTGCCACAGTTCGAATTATACCATACGAACACGAAGCGATGTGACAAGGTATACTGGACAGGTAAGCGTAATCAACGTCCAAATAATATTTACATAAAGTCTAACATGTGATCGTAAACAACCGTGGAAGTACATATCATGAAATCGATTCACCAATACCAAAATTTGTATATATTCAAAGTATTCCCTCCGATATTAGACTCATTTCTGATCTTTCTGGTATTTCAGTTGAATTAAAACCATGCCATAAACCGTATAATAACAATGGTATTAATTATGACCAGGAAGGAAGAGGGTCTGGGTTTTGGAAGTTGAGTAAGAAATCCATGCTTTGATTTCGGAAATACAGAGAGATTGTCTCCTTTTAAAATACAATGCTCAACAGAATTTGGAATATCTGAAGTTTAAATCCAGAAAGAAAACACATATTTACAGCAAAAACAATCAAAAGAATTTGTGCATTACAGATAATAGTCTGACACGAAATTACAACAATTAAAAGAACACATCGATGAAATACTCGATAATGATATTTTAATAGAATATGAAGAAGTTAAAAATGAACTGGAGATACTGAGTGCACAACAAACACAGGGATTTATTATTCGATCACGGGTAAACTAGTACCAACATGGGGAAAAGAGCAACTAATATTTTTATAGAAAAAAACAATAATTTTTATAAAAATCCATTGACATACTCAATGGGTTTGAATATTACAGATTCGAAATAAATTTATATATGAATGAAATTGTCAATTTCTTGAAACATCCCAAGAGCAATCACCTATATGCGAAGGAGAGGTTACTAAAGTTGAGCTACTTGAAGCACATAAGAGTATTCGAAAAAATAAAACGCCTGAATTTTATTTTAAGACTTTGGGAAAATATTAGCGACTGTTTACTGGCATCCCTAAATTATGCATATAACAAGTATCTTTCTGTGTAACACCAAAACAAGCACTGATTACTTGAATACCAAAATGTGAGAAAGATGTACTACATATTTAAGAGTTGGAGACCCATTTCATTGCTAAATACATATTATAAGTTAGCAAGACATTGTTACCTTTTATTATTCACGACGATCAGTCTGCCTTCTTTGAGGACAGGCGTATCACAGATAACATTCGTTTGATAAGTGACATTATTGAATGGTATGAATTAACTGGAAATCTTAGAGTGGTCATTTATGTACAAAGCCTTAGAACTATTTAACTAATCAAATGCGAAAAAAACATTTTATACAAATATTCAAAATTGCGTTATAAATAAGGGTAACAGCATTGGGTGGTTTGACTTACACAGAGGAGTCCGACAAGGATGTCCCTTACCTACTGCGCTCTTTGTTATTTCGATAGGAGTACTCGCTAACACCTTCCAGGCACTAGCAAAAATTATGTGCATATGCAGATGCCACAACGCTAAAGCTTAAAGACAGCTCGTTTATTCATATTTCCCTAATGATGTTAACGGATGTCAGTAAAGTGACTGGTTTGACCCTTAATTTGGAGAAGACAGAACTAATTCCAATTGGTGTTCAGAACGGGGAGTGGGTGCTTCTACAACATTGACTCCAGTTCTAGCGTGTGGGTGTGAATAACCATAAATTAGTAATTATTGTGATGTCTTCATTTGCATATGAGTTTTATTGGCTATTTTAAATGATAATTAAGCCTGATGTATATCCGCATAATTTTTCAATATCAATAATTACAATATAATATTTTACAAATTAATTAGTAATTATTGTGATGACTTCATTTGCATGGGGTTTGCTAATGGCTGTTTTCAATGATAATTAAGCGTGTTGTATATCTGCATAGTTTTTCAATATGACCGAGAAATAATATTTTGAAAATATAAATGAGTACTAATTTCTATGTTTACAAGGCCGAGAGAAATAACTACACACATGCTTAAATTGCTTGTCTTCGAAGAGATAAAATAAGCAAGATGCCCCACCATGTTTACTCAGTAAACAGTGAATATGTTTTAGTCAAATCATTGCTGGAATTTTTTTTTTTTTTTTTTACACTGTGACAAAACATCTATTGTGATATGTTTAATTTCAGTTGAATTGAAATGTTGATATTCAAGCTATTTCTAAGCAGCTACTATAAACAAAGATTTTCATTTGAACTTTAGATAAATAAGTTTATGCAAATTGCATGTTTTGGCAGTCTATGCAATTTTGGAGGTGCCAATGCAACTAGTCATTAATAATGTCTTGGACAAATTCTTCTCTTGTAACGCAACAATTGTTTAGCATCTCTGAATTGAAAGGAAATTCGTCAGAAACAGAAATAATCATCAGTAGTCGTTATTTATTCATAAATTCTCAAGTCACCACTTTTGTTGAATACTGATTGTAAAAGAACAGTTCGTTAACCTAAGAACAACAAAAGACAGTAAGGCTGCAACTATTGTATGGTTGAGTAAAAAAATGAAAAAAAATTCAAAGAAGAATGTGCTCACAAAAGAATCGTTATTTGACAAAACAAAATTCTTAATTATTGTTCAAAAACCAATTTCAAGAACATATAATTGAGTGCACAGATACAATGTTATGAATATAACCATAACTTTTATATTAATTATATCAATTACCATTGAATAATCCTAGACGCACTCCACAATATTATTCACTAAATTAATGAGTTTTTTATTTGTTATTTTTCTTTGGAATCCATTCAGCTAATTTACATAGTAATAGCTATTTTTCATGGAGTCAATAAATACATAGTAATTACAAATTTAATTGCAATATTAAAAAAATATGACACATGTCAAGTAAAAATCGGAAATAATGTATGGTATGGATAATATATTGGGCACATGTCTGCTTGAAAATACGTACATTAGTTGCTTCGCGTATTAAGATAGGAATAGAATTCTAAGTATTTGCTGCCTAATATTTAGGAGATTCTTTGTAAAAGTCTGCATGATAGTAATTTCCGTTCGTGTTTGCTCTATAGTATAATAGGAGTGAGCTCAATTTATTTTGTAGAACATGTTTAAATAATCTGGGTTCAGTTTATTTTTAGCTCCGCTGTTGACAAAGTCGACACAGCGGAGCTGTTCATATTACTGGTTGTCCGTCGTCGTCCGTCGTCGTCAACTTTACAATTTTAACTTCTTCGAAACCGCAAGTCAGATTTTTTTCAAATTTGATATGCAAGTACCTTGGATGGTTCTTTCTCAGATTTGTTCATTTTATGTCAAAATCTCAAATTCTCTAATTTTGATGAATATTTTTGTTATTTGATATTTACAACTTCTTGTTAAAAACGGCAAGTCCGATTGCTTTGATATTACAGATATAGGTACTACATGTGCACCTCTCTCAGATTTGTTTATTTCGTGATGATATCTTTAATTCTCTAATTTTGGTGAATATTTTTGTCATTTTTTGGTAAAAAGTGATATTTTCGACTTTGATATATTCCCATTGCTTTGATACTATACATATTGTAAGTTCATTTTCTAATGACATCTTCTGTTCTTTAATTGAAATGTGCATTGCTAACAGCAGAGCTATCTCAGCCGACTGGCTGCTTGTTTTTAATTTCATATAACTAAATACATCTATAAAAGTAATTACGCTGTCTAATTGACATCCATTTTATTCTATTTAACATATAGGTATTCTGAGTTTTGTAGTGATTTTAAAAACAATCCGCATGCCATGGTTGTTTAATAATATTATCACTACACTACACTAAGACCATACAATAGTCGAAATAAGCAAATATTAGCCTGTCTAGCCTGTCATATAAGATAACTCATGGGTATTATTTTATTAATTTTATTGCTAATATTGATAACAAAATTTAGGTTGTTGTCATCATGGCCAAGCTATAATTCAGATTTAAAGATTTCTGAATTATATTTAAGTGTGAGTCTTTCTTGTTTGTTGCACGCAAGCATACAGGTGTATTTACGAATGTAAAGCCTAAGTTCATTTTCATATACACGTAACTAATTTCTCATTTCGGAAATACCACCCGAATTTACCATAATTATATACTATTAGCGGAAACAGGTCATTTTCGTAAAGGAGAAACAGAAGAGGTTCAAGTGTTCATTGAATGATTAATTAAATTTGACCGCAACCAGTTACAGCCAACCGTGCAAAGCTTTCAAAATATTATCAGGTGATATTGGTTTGAAACCAAAACTAGTAACTGAAGTATACTAACTCGTCTACTTTAAAACAATCGTCGTTTTACATGAGATTTGACAACTATACGATTGAGATGGTCAAGATATATACATTATGGCCGATCAGAAAAGGTTGCCCCCCCCCCCCGTTTTACCATGTGCTTCTTGAATGTAAACGTTTCGGCGAATTTCTCTAAAAACTGATTTCTGATCAAAGATCCGAACATTGTTCTAATTGGATCTAACAATTGAAGTACGCCCTAAATCAAAGTGTTTTGAAAAAAACAAACAGATACTGTAAGCTCATTGTTAACAACAACCATAGATTCATTGGTTATTGGCCGGTCTAGACTTTTCGTACTCTACTTGGTAAACATGCACAATTATTGCCTTGATGATTCTGGCTTGTAATCGATATACGTTATTCCACATACCCCAAGCCTTGACGCTACTAATGGCGAACGCCGAAGGCCTGGCGAGCGAGTACAACTAAGCAGTTTATTTATTTACTAATAAAGTAAAGAACTCAGGTATTCATAATCACGTCCACTGATTGGTCGTACTCGTAGTGCCTGAACTGCGGATGACGAGTTATTAGTTTAACCTCGAATTGAGCAGGATTCAATATGGTGCCACGCACGACTATCTTTTATCTAGGAAAAGTGATTATTGCTTTCTTCTGCAAGCGGCATTTGAGTTGGCCTATGGGCAGCGAGTATGTCTACCGGATGTTACGCTAATATCGTCTTCTATTGAAATCTAATTAGCGGCATAGGGATCAGACAAAAGTGACGACTAAGATCTCGTTGAGAGCGAGACTTGTTTTTACCCTTCCAACGGTATCTTCAAAATTTGTTAATGGTATTGCATTCTGTTTTTCAAATAACAAGGAACGAGACATTCATTATATATAGTGTTGATACAATCAAGAACAATAAAAATGTACCGATAAGACACCGCGACAAAAAAATGCACTGGTCACACTCTTCAAGCCACGTCACCCCCATGACTTCAAATGGGGGACCCCTTAAATACAAGTTTTCGATTAGGATACATTTTATTTGACCACAGTATTTGTTTTTCAGGGAATTTTACGTGCATCGCTGTATCATTCCATTTTGTGCGACAAATTGGTTACTACATGCTTAATACATATATCCCGACATTCGCTCTCGTCCTCCTATCGTGGGTCTCATTCTGGATGCGACCTGATGCGGCTCCAGCACGAGTCAGCTTGGGTGTGACGGTCATTCTAACGACGACCACGCTGGCAATTGGTGTAAGGGGGTCATTTGCCAAGGTGTCTTACATAACGGTAAGTTTCCCCACTGATTATGTTTATTGCCACCTATAATAGTCTCTTTCTATTTGTGGCTCGTCATTTTTCTGAATTAAAGGCAAATGGGCCTCCGCGATCTCGTTAAAGGCGAGAGCGCCACGAGACTTATCCCCCTCCCTATCAAATTGTACTCCATCTTCTCCTGCCGTAGCATGAACTGTTCCAAACAGCATGGTTACATATCAGTGGAAAAGTAGACCCGGTGACGGAAGAGAATGAACATTGAAATAAGTCTCGTGGCTTTCTCGCTCCCAGCGAGATCTCGGCGTTCATTTTTATTGAGACATTTCTAATGGAATTATATTTTTTTTTTTAAATCTTCATAAATATGCAAATTAGCGGCCGCCATTACGGAAACCCCGTTTTCAGCATGCCAAAATTATGGTTCCCAACTTTTTACCTCCACATGCGCTTACCATCAACATACTGTGGAAATGGCGCTAGGCTATAGCACTAAATGCCCGTCTTGCGCGTGTGTGCGCAGTAAAAGATTTGTACGAGTATACATTCTGCGCGAAGCTATGACCAAAAATCTATTTTTCGGTCATTTTCATGGTATTAGCCTGAGTAGGAAGGAATTATTTGTTCGAATCTGATTTTTCTAGAGTGCAGGTGTGACCTGTCTGTCAAGTTTGACTAATATTGTAACTTTGGCCCCACTCTTAAGCTAGATATGTCCGAGGTTTTTACTCAAAGATTTGTCGGAGGAAATGCATTTGGCGCGAAGGTATTCAAAATTCATTTGCTGTATGTGGCCATGGTAACGGTGGGCCGGGAATATTTTCAGATTCTACCACCGGACTAGAGTGAAGATGTGACTTGCCTGCCTGCCTGCCTGCCTGTGCCTGCCAAGTTTGAACGAAATCGGCCAAGCCAATGAATCATGGGTAAAATAAAGACATACAGTCGTCGACAGCTGGCAATTTCTTTCGCATCGTGTTCCGTATAGCGTTTACGCGAGATTCGAACGCGCACTGCGTGACGATTGTAGAGTTTCTTAATTAATGACTGCTTCAGCAAATAGCATGCGTTGATGTTCACGCATGATAGGACGTGAATGATAAAAATATCATTTTAAAACATTATATTTATTAAAATCGCATGTTCTAGAAAACTCAAAAACATAATGAACTGTATTCCACGGTCAGTGCCGTACATGGTGGGACAATGAGCTCTGGTTGTTGGATCACAACCCAAGAAGCAAACGTTTAGACTTCTCGTTGTGTGCTATCATCAGCGCATTCATGTGAACGATTTAATCTGAATGCAACATGCATGAAATAGTTGTTTACGTAAAAACAAGCTGATCTTGGTACTTACGCTCTCATGGGATCATACTAGAAATAACATGACAGACATAGTGCGTGTGTATATATATAAAGTAGTACAAAGATCGGGATAATGAACCATTACTAATTCCTCAGCTCCCGAGGGTTCTTTGTATTTATGCTGGTGATCGTCGCTGTGTCTGCGAAAGTACTATGGGGGATTGCATGATGGGAGTGATAAGTAGTTTGATCAGTAAAATGACTTTAGAAAAGTGAAAACTAGAGTGACTGTGAAATGATATTGAATATCAAGAAATCCGGAAATCTGGTATGAAAAGGCAGTAAATGGAGCCAGAATGCATCATCAGAATCCGGAGATCAAAATACGTCACTTCCATCGTGGCGGTCGCAAAGTGTCAACAACTATGGATGCAGCAATAACCTCGATTTGCAGTTTGCGTGAATGGCCGGGGGATACATGCAAATTCTGTGCTTCAGTAACAGTATTTGCCGATTTTTTCTGCAATGAAAATTAATACAAGAAATGCTGCCAAAACACATTTCCTTCTCAGTAGTAAACAAAACAACCTTGTGACGTTTATCTTGAGAAATTGAGAAGACGAAAATTCCATAGGACAGTTGTTCTTTCGTCTTGTAAAACAATGGACATACTTCACCAGGGTATCAATGACTGGCCTAGGCTGGTTGTAGACGTTTTTAGAGGGGTGAATTTCTAGAAGTATTCGCCGTGACATCGGACTTTTCATTCGGATTTACACAACACTTGTAGAGACATTGTGTCCAACAGTGAAGATAAGTCATTGGGAATATTCCGTTAAGTAGAATGGACAGCATTTTTAAAGGGGCAGCCGTCGCGCTGCGCATGTGCGACATTTGTGTTGATAAACATTAATTTTCTCACAATCCAATGCGCTCTTCTAATGGAAATCACGAGTATGAGGTTTGACCTGGGCGCGACTTGCACTAATTACCGCCAGTGACTCCTTCGATACCTTCCAATCACCTGAAAATGCCTATTTAAAGCTTACTAACGTTCCAATTTGTACTCGTTGATCTGCGCAACAGCCAAAGTCGCCATCTTTGTTTATATGAGACCCATATATCTCGCGCGTGCGTGGCGCGGAGACTACCGCGCTTCAAACTTCCTGTTGCAGACCATGTTACAATATTAGGTTCGGTTGTATGCTAGAATACAAGCTTGTTGTGGTCCAACAATATTGCTGGAATTTGTGGACCGACTGAAGTTTTACCATCACATTACCGACTTACATGTTACTGCCAGGAAGGTTTAATGTCTTGTTTGTATTTGCACAATGTGAATGAGTGGTTTATTGTCAAAATATACACGGGTGCTTGTGTGCGTATTGAAACCATACAAAATTTGACCTATGCACATTCGTTTCATGTTACATTGCGATATTCTCATGGAATTGTTAAATCTTGGTATCATTTCCAACTGTCACCAAACTGTACGTTTTGAAGACGATTGTAAGATTTTATTTCAGGTATACTCGAAGTGAATCTCAGCACTGTGTTTTTCATAAATATTATGGTTCTGTTAATAATTTTCTGGAAACTGAACAGCAAATCACAGATTTTCATTAATTATTGTTCATAGTTTTTCTAACTTTCAGTGTTTATTGTTCATAATTATTTACAGTAATAAAACAGTTTTCCGTTTTGAAAGCATTTCCAGTTATTATTGTGCACATGACAGCTTTCCCCCACACGCATAAAGGCAGGATGTGTACGGATATGTGTGAATGTGTTCCATGGATTAATAGGCCACTCCTTTGCTTCAATTCCAACTGTATCTCTGGAAATGTAACTTGCTGTTTATCATTCATATTTCGATATTTCCACAGTGTTTCGATTTCGTGTCTGGTAATTCTAACTAACTACTATTCAAGTTTCGCAAAATTTGACCAGCCTTGCTTCTACCAGTCATTTAAGTCAACTCCCATTTGTCACACGCAACGTAATATTACCGTAACTGGTATAGTACAGGTGTGATGGTTCAAATACCAAAATGGCAACAGTAACAAAAAGACTTCCCTGGCGGCGATGATAAAATACGAACACGGAGCCAACAGATGAGGTTTCAACTGGTACTGGTATTATTATACTCTGCAAACATCAAGTACAATAACGCGGTAAAACTCCACTACTCCAATGACTAGATACTTAAACTCAAATACAATTCAACGAGATCTCCGATCTGAACTCAGTGCAGAACAACTCCCCTATATATACCCACACTGTCTATAAATAGACCATTACATCAGTATACATAATGAGTCTGGAACTTACTACAAATTTCTAGAATGTTCCATTACCTTCTATTGCTTCCTACAGTATCCTATCATGAATTTGTTTACGCGTATCTGTTGACCGACTTAATTAGCTGATTATTAGCTGAATTGCTGTGTTATGTCTGTCATCGTTTAGGCCTATTTGAAGATTTGGACGGAACTTGGCTCAGTGATTTGGAACTTATTACCAAATAACCGTCGCCATTCTGACAGTTGGTATTCCATAGTTATTAATGTAGTGAACGATTAATCAAAAGATATGACGTATTCAGTACTTAGTGTGATTGGCTTTATGATTGAAGGTTACGCCCTAGAGTCTTTTACTGTTTTGTAATTGGTTAGAGTTTTGAAAATGAATAAAGAGAGTTTGAGTTGGTCTTGGGGAGCACAGCACGATAGACGCAGTAGAGAGAGAGTGCAGTCCTGGGCAGTCGAGTCCAGTCTAAGAGAGTCTTGGGGCGAGCCTTGACGCAGTCCAGTCTTAGACGAGTCTTGGTTCAGCCTTGTGAGAGTCTTGGGGACTTTTCCCCAGGGCGCTGTGTCTTATAGAGTGCTCCACAGACCGACTAAGACGCGAGCTGAAACGTATTTCGTTGTGTGTGCCTTATTTGACTGTAAAGTATAACTGACTTTCCCGATCCCGTACCTCAAGGGGACGCGATAGAGAGACGAGACGAGATTCCCCCCTGACAAGTGTGGAGAACCCCAGAGAGAAGAGAATTTCCCCCTGATAATCCTATTACCTATTCAACCAACTTCTAAAAATTCCACCCAGACACAGTACGGTTCTAGAACATTCTCAGTCACACGGAAGTGGTAAACAAGTCGTATGCGACACCATTCAACAAACTGTATTTTTTGCAATGTAAAACCCTTTGTTGCCACTGGCAGAAAATTTCACTAGTTTGAAGTTTTGAGCAATTTCACTGTGTTGTAAGTTCACAAACTTGGCAAGGAATCAATGAGTTACTTTGTTATTCAACTTCGTGACAAGTAGCGAATTTCACTTATCAGCGAAAGTAAAAGCCAGCGAATAATTTATGCAAATGCATTTACTGTATTCTGTACGATTCTGTGTCATATAATGAAAATTAGGTTCATGTCCCCCATGTGACCTTAAACGAATACGCATACCTCTATCTGCATACTCTCTCAATTAACTGACGGAGAAAATACAATTAATTATTCATCCATCAGATAATGCTACCTTTAGTATGTCACTAGAGAAACTATTTTTTTTTTACAAATTTAATTGATTTATATATTACATCAGTACGTAACACGTGATCGCTTATTTTAAGAACATTTTCCTTGCTGACATTGACGAAAATAAGGAGTTAACCACATTCAAATTGAGAAGAATTGGAATTGGTTTGACGTCATAAAAGCGCTTCATTGCTAGAGGGCATGTGATAATTGCTTTCGGGTTATTATTTGTAATTCGGATTTCTGATTCTAAGCTAATCCTTACTACTACTCTAATCCGTTGAATGTCATTTGATACATTATCCACGTAGTGGCGTTATTTGTGTTATTATTATTTTTTCGCAGGCGATAGATGTTTGGATGACCAGTTGTCTTATATTTGTTATATCAACTACGATAGAATTTGCTATTGTGAATTTTCTGTATCATATATGTAAAGGAATTCCGTCAAAACGACAACCGTGTGCAAGTCACGCCAATCGTCGACGGAGTATGGCGCATTATGTAAGTACTTGTAATGTCTGCGTACTGTATTATTGTTGTCACGTAATAAAAATGCACTCATCGACACAAGACTACTAATAAATTACAAGCCTGACACGACTTTCTACTACGACTTTTCTTTTTACATTTATGTGGGTGCACAATTTGTATGTGACATCGCGACCTGTGGTGGCATATTCTATTAACAAATATGGGACTACCGTCTCAATACTAGAAAAGGTTTTCCCATTGTGACAACGCTTTATACCGTCATTCATTCGCCGAGCCGACCAACTTTGTTATTTGTAGCCCCTTATTTACCAACAAAAATAGTATGATCAATATCACACAATTTATGAACACCAATGCAAAGAATAGAATCATGTGATATGTCGGGTCCAAATTAAAGATAGCCGCCGCCGGACATTTCCAGCTAATCACATGGCCGCGAAGTTCAACACACTAATGGTATAAACACGTCATCACAAATCAAAATAATTTAATCGAGTGTGGATTCCACTTATTCAAAGAGAGAGAAAAATGTGCAGCGTTTTGCCAGAACTATTTTTGCGGTTGATTATTATAATGAACACCGAAGCACAGCATGATCATACATTTTGTATACATACATATTTATCGTGTTTTGCTTTCAGAGCTGCGGAGAATCGAATGGTGTCGGGACAGGATCCATATTCTCTCAATCCAATGAAGTTCGCCGTCGGTCTGATGGGTTCGCTGAGACCCGACTAATGACAAAATTGCCCGAGGAGAAACAGAATGACGACAAAGTCGCGTCCAACCAGCACTTAGCGCTAAGGGTGGACAACATATCCAAATTGTTGTTCCCTATTTCATTCGCCCTATTCAACCTGGTATATTGGGCTACATTTTTTGTGTGAAGTTTGAACTTTGTATTGAAATATTTCTTTACGTGAAAATCGGTAAGTTGAGGTATCCTGTAATGGTCAGGAAAAGGTACTTCGTGAGAAAGAAAAACAACTTGTGGCTGAACACAATTCCTCATTGCCAAAGAGAGTTTGAAATGTAGCGCGCGATAGAAATAGAAACAACGATTTTTGGAAGGTTATGCTAGAGTTTAAGGAATGTGGTTTAATAACTAAGCAGTCACGGTAAAATACTAGCAATTTCACAAAATAACCACGCTTGTAAACTAGCCTTCGCCAGTTAGTAATGTGATAGGGTTACTACTAATTATTACAATAGGTGTATGCATCGTGTAAGGTAAATTTTTCACTTATTAGACGATTCGCGGTTTACAGTATGACGTGGCATTTTTGTCAGAGAACGTCATACTCTCTGATGCCTCGTTCGTAGCTAGTCATGCAACGTGTATCCTCGAGACGCTGGCCGTCTGCGTCGCAAACCAACTGCGAACGTGCTCACAAAGACCATTTTCCGTTCACTTCGAGATCCCGCGTTATGCGTAAAATCGAACATAAAAACAGGACAAACAAAGGCGACTAACAACGCGTGGGATTCGACAAACGCGAAAGTATTTTGGGTGATATTTCTACGCTTAATAATGCTGTGCACATTAAATTTTGATGATGGTCAATTTCATTGAATAAGGGGTATCTAAACGCAATATTCCCACGCCAAAGATCGACCTCTCGACTTTGGCTATGAAAGTAAAATCGAGTTCAAAATCAAATCGTTCGATTTTAGCGGCAGACGTTCGGCGCGCGTCTTTTACGCAACTCGCGAGATCTCGCAGTTGAACGGAAAATCGTCTATTGCCGACGTAATTGCAGAGAATATCACGATCATATTCCGTATTACGCGTTCTAGGGACTGACTGTTCTTCACGATATACCGTGACAATATACCTATTATAGCATGATATAAGCAAAACAACACAATACTTGTTAATAATAATATATATATGTTGTAAGTACATGTGCACTTTATTAGATTTAGTTTAAAATTCACTTGTGCTCATTGTGGCGACAGTGCCACCAACGGTCAAATGTTAGTGGTCTTTCTTCCCGTGATTCTTGCGTAGTGTTAATGTAATCATTGTTAAAATTGTGTTCATGGTCATATGCTCTATAGAGTTTACAGAGAAGTTACACGTACCCGGCATTTGTAGAAATTAAATTGACGAGGGTGAACAGCAGCGACATTGGGACTTGAATATGCAGTTTAGTTTATAAATTCACTGACGTTAGGGTCAACTATGTCAGTGTATACCCATGCTTATCAACAAGCCCGTGTCAGGTTATTTGGTCACGTTTCATCACGAATTAAATTATATTATTTCGTTCTGGATCACATTTCTTGTTATATATCAGGAATTATCGTACTGTAAATGCATTAATTATTGACTGGGCTTTAATTTCGTTATTTTCGCTGATTGGTAAAATCCGCGAAATTATATCTACGTGAACATATAAAATAACAATAAAACTCATTGTTTCCTTGACAAGTTTATGAAATATTCTCAAAACATTTAAATAGTAAAATTAAACTTGAATGTCAGTGAAAATAAATCTTTTTTTTTTTGTTATAAAGACACGTGAAATATGTCATTCAGCCTATTAATGGAAATGTGAACCACAAAATACACGATGAATTTAATGAAAACAACTACACTGCCATTAAACTCAGTTCCGTTAAGAATTAACTACTTTAATACAGACCTATTTTGAAAGGTTGTTCGTGGATTCTTATCTTGGGGATACGTCATCAAAACCGTGACAAAATAAGGCAGCGCAACCACAACCGTGATCGCTGAGGGCATAATTCAATACGATATACGGACACAAACTGACTCAGCTTCTCACAACGAGGTCATCGGATCTACATATTATTTCAGCCTCGTCCGGTCAGAATGCACGATCCCTCTCTTAAGTAGGTTTACTTATTTTGTCACTGTATTTCAAGCTATAGTTTATTTTTGCAAATACAAACAACGCGTAACGTCTTTTAGTGTCTGCTTACCAGCGTCGACTACTCGGATCCTGCAACTTCAAACTACCGTGAGCCAATTCGAAATACCCCCCCCCCCCCGGCTAAGCCGTTGTGCACATATACCTTGAGACCCCAATCACACCATCCTTCAATACGACAGACACAAGACTTGTAGTTTTGAACCGGATTGGCGTGGTTGACCTTGAATTTATACACTACAACAGATTCTTCACATGCGTAAAAACATTAAATACTGTGACAGATAAAATAAGCGCATTATATCATTGAAAACTATTAGGAAAAACGTACAGCGATGTTCAAAGTTTTAACAAGCAGCCGCCCTCCCTCGCCGATTTTCGAAACCGGATTATCGGCCGACAGAGGGCCCACACTTCGCGAAGAGGGCATAACACACAACTCAGTTTAACTAAAAATATCGTAGCTGGTAAATAAGAACTTAATTATTTTTTGTATTCACCAAGATTCTATGTGCTACAGAATTGACATTTATTTGTGGAATGTGGGAATATATACGAACATTGTAACAAATAGTGCTCGTAACCTTAATACTGTGTTGTTGTTGTTGCTGCTTTAATGTCCGATAACTGTATTTACATTAAGATACTGATAATAAATATATGAAATAAATAATAAATAAATGCCATGCTTCTTATTTACATTGAATTGACAGCACATATATATGTAGTTGCACGTTGAACAAAGCAACTGCGCGCGCACTTTGAATAAATAGTACGTACTACTAATTGAGAGTGCATGCGCAGATACTTAGTCGTTATTTTCACGAGCCAGGGTATATCATTGTGGAATATCGAACAAAAAATAATTGTAAATTCACAGTTATACTGCCCTCTTTATGAATGCAGCTATATACCAAATGCCACGGATGGTACTAATATTACGTAATATTATACAAAAACACAACATAAAGGAGCTTACGCGTATGTATTATTCATGGAGGTAGAAAACTACCTCCATAGTATTATTGTACATATCATAGTATACATGCGCAGTCCTGTTATATATGCACCAAGAGTAGAACTACACAACTGTACAAAACTCGTTAATTAAGTTTGAAGCTAGATTGCACCGATTCGGAACTGTTTTGCATGATCAGAACGCCATTTAATTTGATCCACGGTTGAACGCATAGAAAGTGATTCGTAAAAAAATAAATAAAATAAAAAATACAAACAAGTCTGACGTTATTTCGCCCTCCATGAAAAACATGTGACTATTATGAACTAGAGATAATTTGGCAAGTCCGAAGATTCAAGTATATACTGATGAATAAACATGTCCTTTAAATAATTAAATATCACCAGCACAGTCACCACAGGGTCCAGTGCTAGTTCAGTGGTTAAGTCTCGGTAAAGTTCAATAGTAAATATTTACACGTTCGTTTGTATTTCCCCGGATGTAACATTCATATTCGAGGCAGACTCGTTGCTGTCCGCCGAGGCCGCGGCCACAGCCGCACCACTACCATCACCGTGACTGCCACGATGTCGGTTAAGCTCACTACTCCGTCGTCGCTCAACCGCGTCTTTCGTGTTTTTGATGAATTTGTAAACCAGGTAGACGGGAGTGAAGTTCAAGTTGCCCATGACGTAATCGCTGTCGTTCTCGTCTTTGATGCTACGGGCTCCCTTATGGCAGTCAGCATAGGACTGCTCCTCTGCGAAATAAAACGAGATTAAAAGGTTAATCGTTACCGCCACGTGATTGATTGCGTCATCTTACCGCAATGAAATAAAAGATGACCGTCGACCTCAGGCTACCTGGAAACAATTTAGGAACTGAAATTCTGAGAGGAGACTAAAACTAGAAAACTTTAAAAAACTATCTATTATCACCACTGAGTTTCAGTTTCCACTCTTATTCAAGCTAATTTTAAGATCTTAAGGATGCTGTACACCTTTTTTTGCTTTGAAACCCAAAATTCTACTTTTTTGTATTTTTCAATGCTGGACTACAAGGAGCAAACACTCAGTAGGAAAAAAAGTGAATTGAATGTTTTTATAGGGTGTAAAAATCAATTTTTGTTAATTAAAAACAAAAGCACATGTCATTGTTTTGAAAGCTATGTTTTAATTAATCAGCCAAAGACATAATAGACAGATAATTTGCATAATAGTCACCACCCATAGCAAATATAAACAGTCTCTTGCATTCAGTACAAGCTCAGACTAGTAATACCATAGACCTTAGAAAACAAGGTCTATGGTAATACAAGTACATTTTTGTATTAGTAGTCCGAGGTACAAGTTACACGCACTCCATTTACGATCGTCCACAAATTTAATTTCGTTGAATTTCTCGCTCTTCAAGCAGTCGAGTATGAAACCGTCTTGGGGTCGACTATGACAGTGACGAAAGAAAACGAATGCAAGGAAAT